CCCCATGTGTGCTTTATGTAACTTATCTTTAATGTTTGAGAGAAATGATAATTTTGCACTTACATGAAAAGATTCTAACTTGGAACATGGGATGTACTTAATGTTCCTGTGTGACATTAGTGGAATCTGAAATAAGAAGAGTAATGTGAAAAAGCATATCCAACATATTTGTGGCTTTAATAATGATACAGACTCAGAAAATAAGGCTCTAGAAAATGTGGATAGCTTTGTTAAGAAGATCATAAAACGCTTTTAGGGAGTATTCTTCTATTATTGTTAACATGACAAAAATAAAGCTTGTAATTTTGGTGTACACTTGTTGGCAGGTAGTGGAAACTTTTTTTTTTTAACTGGCTACCAAAGGTAGTTCTAATAATAGCTACTAATTTAGTATCAGTATGTGTATTGGTATGTTTTCCATTGTGTGTGTGTGTGTGTGTGTGTGTGTGTGTGTGTGTAGGGAGAGTTATAGGAGAGAATAAGTTAAGAAAATTGTGAGATATTAAATACTTGTGACTGGTCTATAAGCACCTAGAGATGTTATTGCTAGTAATATCTCTAGTGTGTGTGTGTGTGTGTGTGTGTGTGTGTGTATGTATGCACATATGTCTTACTATATTTGGGTGGCACTACTAGAATACCCCAGACTGTATAGCTTATAAACAACAGAAATTTACTTCTTACGGTTCTGGAGGCTAGAAGTCCAAGATCAAGGTGCCCACAGATTCAGTGTCGAGTGAGAGCCTGCTTCCTGCTTCTTGGTTCATAGATAGCCATCTTTTCTGTGTATTCTTATAGGGAGAAGAGGCCTCTTTTTTTTTTTTTTAAAGATTTTATTTATTTATTCATGAGAGACACACAGAGAGAGAAAGAGAGGCAGATACACAGGCAGAGGGAGAAGCAGGCTCCATGCAGGGAGCCCGAATGCGGGACTTGATCCGGGGTCTCCAGGATCAGGCCCTGGACTGAAGGCAGTGCTACACCACTGGGCTACCAAGGCTGCCTGAGGCCTCTTTTATAAGGACACTAATCCCATTCTTCAGGGCTCTACCATCGTGGCCTAATCGCTTCTTAAGGGCTCCACCTCCTGATCTCACTGGAGATTAGGTTTCCCCATATGAATTTTGGGGGAACATAAACAATCCGTAACGGTGAATAAACACACACACACACACACACACACAGTCACACATATATGCTTACTTTAAAAGTTCATACTTTTCAGAAAATATAGAGTATGTTATAATCCTTTACTCTCATATTTGCTATTGACAGTTTTGAGGTTAGAAATCTAAACTTTTTTTAATGTATGTATTTATGTATGCATGTATGTATGTGTGTAAGCTCAGCACTCAGTGTGTGGCTCAAACTTACAACGCCAAGATCAAGAGTCACATGCTCTACTACCTGAGCCAACCAGCTGCCCCTGAGATCTGAGTTTCTGTTAATAGAAAAATGACCACGTTGCAAGCTATTAACATTACTTGTAGAGAATTTTAGACATTTTGAGGTGATGGATTTGAAAAGGAAAGAATTGTCGATGAAACAATATAAAGAAAATAACTTATGTACAAATAAAAGGATTCATTTATATACTTAAAATTTTAGTAGTTTTCAGGGTCTGAACCAGTTGATTTAATTATTCTTTTTTAAATAGCTTTTATGTTTTACATTGTAGAAATAATTAAGATGTGCTTGTTACTTAAAAGTTTTCCTATAGTTTAGATGTGTATAAAGTAAAAGTTTAAAGTTTCTTCTCTAATTTCAACACCGGATGTAACTACTTAAAACTTTTTGAGTTGTGAATACCTGCTCTGAAATTTTAAAACTTCAGAAAATATTCTTTAAGTGACTTCTGTTTTTTGTGTTTTTTTTTTTTTTGTCAACAGATATTAAAATGCATGCTGTGGTGAAAAAGTTACACTTAGTTGACACGATAATTGAGTATCTAAATGAATGTGTAGGTCAGGATGGTGAGGTAAGATTAATAGTGTACCTAGACATTTTTACAGACTGGTATTTTTATTAATCAGATCTGAAACTGAATTCAGCTGAATTTAGGTAAGTGCTTGGAGATTAAAACCTGATTAATACCAAGTACATTGTTTATTTTTTTTATTTCTAAGAGTAGGGTCTCTCTAAAGGAAAACCAATCTTAGATTTTTTTAGGATATGTAAGCAGAAGTATATACAAAGCTTATTTTCAGCGGAAAATAATTCTTAATTTGCATTTTTGTTTTAGACAATTTTGATAAAAAACCATAACATTTAGAAAAAGTTACTATTATAGTTTATTTTGTTTCCCCTTAGAATTGATGATTGTACAATAACTGTGTTTTCCCTCCTGGCCAGCTCATAGAATGTTTGATTCTGCCAAGCCTCACACTCTTCAGGAAAGTTCTTTGTGCGGACCCGGTCATGCGCATGGCCCTCTCACAGCAGGCTTCTCTTTTGACCCTGTTATTCAGAGGTGAATAAAATTCTGCTAATAATAATAAGTCAGCTTTAAGGGTTATGCTTTAACTGTAGGTAACATTTACTTTCCATTTGACTAACAGAATAACAAAGTTTTTTAGTGACTATGCTGCTAAAAATATCCATTACAACGGATAATGTTTCTTTTGTGGAAATTACCTTGTAATCCTGTTACTGAGGAGGCCTCAGAGCTGAGAAAGGATGATCATTCTGTTCTTTGCACAGTTGATGTGGCTTTCATTTGGTGCTCAATTACCTATTATTATCTATGAAGAGAGCAGGCTGCAGCCACTGCCATTGCTGCCTACTCTTCCAAATCCATTTCCGCAGTCTTAGTTGGCTTGTGTCTTTGCATCCTGACCTCTGGCATGGTGTCTGAGTATGTCATCAGACTGATAGTAGGAGGGTACACCCTTTTTATGTGGAGTGGGAGCTAGACCATCCTGAATGACTGAGCATTAGTTTATTATAAAGTGTGATTTTTTTTTTAAACCCATTTCAATTTGGTTGTAGCTTACTAATGTGTTTATGTAGAAAAATTCCATGTAGTTTTTTTCTCTTTTTCTTCCTTCTGACTGTTCTCAGTAGAGAGCTTGGTAACATTTTGTGCTATTTTCTTTCTTAGAGATTTAGGCCACTACTATTAAATAATCCTACAATATGCATCTTGATCAAATTCTCAATATGCTTAACCTTGTTAATTATCTTAAGTGAGATTTATGTTCAAAATATTATTAGAATATAGATTAGAATATAGTAATTTTATTTTAGCATTTTCTTCCTATGTCTTCTGCTTGCTAAGTGAAGAGGACAGTGTATTTAATATAAGCATTGATACAAGTCCAAACCAGGTGAAGTTCTAAACAGACTCAGTGTGTCCAGGCTTGTACATCTTGAATAGTGTATAACATTTTTACAGTTTTTAATAGATTGATCTAGAAGAGTAGTACCTGTGGATCTTACGTTTTCTTTAGTCCTGTTAATTATCTTCCTAATAACCTCATTCAGAAGTTAGTCCCTAGTTTGCCTTTTCTTTTTTTTTAAATTCTTATTTTTATAATTTTTTATTTTTATTTTTTATTTTTATAATTTTAAGTTATTTCTTATTTTGATTTAAATTATTCAAGCATTCATGAGCATATTACTAGATTCAAAGGTACTTTCTAAGGCAGCATCATATGTACCCTGTTAGTATTAACAATTTTTCTATTTTGTTGATGTTTGTGAGAACTATTTCAATGAGTCTGAAAGTGAATTATAACATTTTTTATTAATGGATTTAGTTTCAGGGTAAAGTTAGTGTTTTTTTTTTTTTTTTTTTTTTTAAGATTTACTTATTTTAGAGTGCATGCATGTGCAAGAGTGAGGTGGGGGCAGGTCAGAGGGAGAGAGAGAGACTCTTGAGCAAACTTCCTGCTGAGCCCAGAGCCCCACTCAGGGCTCTATCCCACAACCCTGAGATCATGATCAGAGCCGATATCAAGAGTCAGTTACTTAACTGACTGAGTCACCCAGGCACCACAGCAAAATTAGTTTTTTTAAATCAAGTACTCAGCTAGGAAATTCATTCCTCAGCAAATGTTTATTGAGTACATGCTATGTGCTAGGCCCTTGGGATACACCGATCAGTTTGGTAAATGACATCTTGAAGCTGACAGTATAGTTGGAGACTTTGACAAATACACAATACAGCATAAAACTCTCTATAATAGTGGAATTCCTGGTGCCAGAGGGAAGTGTTCCTGAACAGATTGGGTGGTGAGAAAACATGAGAGAATGCTTCCAGGACATTTGGATCCAAGCTGGAACTTCAGAAATGAATAGGAGTTCAGTGAGAGAGGGTTGCTTTCTGGATGGAGCCATGGTTATGTTGAGAGAGAATGTATCTTTGAAATGGTGGTTGGTTAGGAATGACGGGATTTTGGGGCCTTCTGGGGTGAGAGGAAGATGATGAGGTGACACATGGAGAGCAGTTCATGCAGGGTCTGGTAGATCCCAGGAAACAGCACTGAGAAGTCATTTAAGATCCTTAAACTGAGGGGGTATCTGTTTCAGAAAGATTATTCTATCTACAGCATGGAGAGTAGACCACAGGGGAATAATAACTAAATAATCTACCAGATACACTTCTTTTATTTATTTATTTTTAAAGATTTTATTTATTTATTCATGAGAGACACAGAGAGAGAGAGAGAGGCAGAGACACAGGCAGAGGGAGAAGCAGGCTCCATGCAGGGAGCCTGACATGGGACTCGGTCCCGGGTCTCCGGGATCAGGCCCTGGGCTGAAGGCGGCACTAAACTGCTGAGCCACCTGGGCTGCACGATAACACTGCTTTTAATTATAAATCTTATATCATGACAGAATCCAACCCATGACAGAATTGCATGGTGAGAACTTAACTTAAAACTACCTCACACCAGCTCCTTTCCTCAGCTGCCGCTAAGGTGCTCGGTCCTTCCGAGGAAGCCAAGGCCGCATTGGGGTGAGGCCCTCACTTCAGCTGGCGAATAGCACCATGCTCTGCACGCACCCTCGCCATGGCCTCCGTCTCGGAGCTCACCTGCATCTACTCGGCCCTCATCCTGCACGACGATGAGGTGACGGTCACGGAGGATAAGATCAATGCCCTCATTAAAGCAGCGGGTGTGAATGTTGAGCCTTTCTGGCCGGGTTTGTTTGCAAAGGCCCTGGCCAACGTGAACATTGGGAGCCTCATCTGCAATGTAGGAGCTGGTGGACCTGTGCCAGCAGCTGGCGCTGCGCCAGCAGGAGGTCCTGCTCCTTCCACCGCTGCTGCCCCAGCTGAGGAGAAAAAAGTGGAAGCCAAGAAAGAAGAATCTGAGGAGTCTGATGATGACATGGGCTTTGGTCTCTTTGACTAAACTTTTATAAGCTGCTCAATAAAAGGCTGAACTCCTAAAAAAAAAAAAAAAAAAAACAAAAAAAACAAAACAAAAAAAAACTAACACCAGTGAGAATGGGGAAAATTAACAAGGCAGGAAACCACAAATGTTGGAGAGGATGTGGAGAAAGGGGGAACCCTCTTGCACTGTTGGTGGGAATGTGAACTGGTGCAGCCACTCTGGAAAACTGTGTGGAGGTCCCTCAGAGAGTTAAAAAATAGACCTGTCCTACGACCCAGCAATTGCACTGTTGGGGATTTACCCCAAAGATTCAGATGCAATGAAACGCCAAGACATCTGCACCCCGATGTTTCTAGCAGTCATGTCCACAATAGCCAAACTGTGGAAGGAGCCTCGGTGTCCATCGAAAGATGACTGGATAAAGAAGATGTGGTTTATGTATACAATGGAATATTCCTCAGCCATTAGAAATGACAAATACCCAACATTTGCTTCGACATGGATGGAACTGGAGGGTATTATGCTGAGTGAAATAAGTCAATCAGAGAAGGACAAACATTATATGGTCTCATTCATTTGAGGAATATAAAATATAGTGAAAGGGAATAAAGGGGAAAGGAGAAAAAAATGAGTGGGAAATACCAGAAAGGGAGACAACATGAGAGACTCCTAACTCTGGGAAAGGAACTAGGGGTGGTAGAAGGGGAGGTGGGTGGGGGGTGGTGGTGACTGGGTGATCGTCACTGAGGGGGGGCACTTGATGGGATGAGCACTGGGTGTTATTCTATGTTGGCAAATTGAACACCAATAAAAAAATAAATTTAATATAAAAAATATAATATAATATAAATAAAAATATAATATAAAAAAAACTCACTACGCCATCTTACAGTGAGGAAATTGAGATCTAGAGAGATTTATCGACTTGGCCAAGGTCATAACCAGATAATGGTGGAGGCAAGAAAAGAACCCAAATTTTCTTACCTATGTTGATTTGTTTTTGTTTTAAATAATTACAGAATTTCTACATCCTTATTGTAAAAATTCAAACAGTATGGAATGATATGAAGTAAAACATCAGCAGTTTTTAAAATTTTCTTTTCTTTCTCAGTTTCCCCAAAGAAGAATGTACTAGGTATATTTTGTCAAAAATCATTTGGAATGATCTTTTCTTTACACCCATGTTGTATTTTTTATGCTGTATATTTGTTGGTGTTGCTTTTTCCAACTGAAAATGTATTTTAAATATCTTTCCATGTTATTACATGTGAATCTGTTTTCTTAAAAAACACAAAACCAAGAAACCAAGAAACTATTACATAGTGTTTCAGAGTTTCAGTTTGTCATATTAATATTTCTTTCAGAATTTTAACGGTAATAGTAATCATGTTTTATGATCTTGTGCATACTCTGTAATTAGAATTGCTGGGTCAAAGAAATTTTATAGGATATGGTTCAGTTCATCTCTGCATCATTCCCAACAGTGATTTTTTAAAATGCTTATTTTCCTCATAACCTTGCTAACACTGAATATGACTCACTCATTCATTCATTCAAGATTTTATTTATTTATTTGAGAGACAGGGAGAGAGACAGAGATACCGAGAGAGTGCATAAGCAGGGGAAGAAAGGAAGAAGCAGACTCCCCACTGAGCAGGGAACCCCCACATGGGGCTCCATTCCAGGACCCTAGGTCTGTGACCTGAGCCGAAGGCAGATGTTTAACTGACTGAGCCACCCAGGTGCCCCCGAATAAGTCTCATTTAAAAAATTTCTTTAATATTATTGGTAAAAATAATATCTCACTATTATTTTCTATTTTTTAAACATTTTAATGGAGGTGATTATCTTTTCATGTATTTATTCAAATTTCTTATAATTGCCTATTTTCTGTTGCATTTAATTTCTTTTTAGTGACTTGTAGAGTTTATATGCTCGATTTTATGTTAAGATTTTCTTTGCCTATCATTAGCCTTAAGTATTTTATGGAAGTATATAAAGCTTTTCTATTATAGCAACTGAGCTTTTCATCATGCTCTAAAAGGAGGGCCTTCTCCAATTCTGAATTTAAAATTCTAAAAAGACTTCTTTCTCTTAACACATTTATAGTGTTTAAAAAATTTAGATCTTTATGTAGAATTGATTTTGATAGTGTAAGGTAGGTATCTAAATCTATTTTTTTCATATTGTAGGCAATTATATTACAATAATTATGTATTTGGAAATGTGGTAGTTCATCCTATCCCCACTGATATAAAGTGTCTATAAAAATTAAATTCTTACATGTATTTCTGTTTCTTTTTAGTTCATTACTACTTTCAATCATGTCACTTATCAATTAGGTTGTTATTATCCTTTTCTTATAGTTAGGAAAATTAACTTCTTTTGAAATTAATTTCTTGTTGCTGCTTTCCTGGACTTACTGACTCTGTATTATGCTAGTATTCCTGTGTGATTGGTACCACCACAATACCTTTTTGGTTAGAATTTCATAGTTGTCGAGCACTGAGAAGTCATAGCATTGGGAGTGCTGCAGAGGTGGAAACTAAGGCTTATTAATGCTGCAGTATTTGATCAGGCCATTTCACTAGTAGTATGTGATGGTGCTAGCTTTAGTCTTGTTAGTTCAGAGCAGTTTCTTTTTCCATTATCTTGTAATAAATAAGATACACGAATTAAAACAACACCAACACAATCACAGTGTGTTGAAGTCAAACCCGAGTTCTATGACTATATGTTTATAGGAAAGGGCAGATGATAACTAAGGTGATCTCTGAATGAGTGGACTTTAGTTGGAGTAAAGGATTTGGCAAACCTACTAGAAGCTGCGTTAGTTTGCTTCTTTGAGAAACTGAAAGTACACAGTATCTAGTGAGTGGATGTGCAGGTGTGTTTCCTGGACCATCAGGCTGTGGGATTCACAGACTCCAGCCCAAACCTGCTGAAACAGAAGCTCTGTTTTAACAAACCTCTAGATCCACATATGTCAGTGTATGTGGGTTCATGTTGCAGTTTTCTGAGAATGACATCTCTTCCCTTTGAGTTAAGATATTTTAAATTTGAAGTTCATTTTTCTAGAGGTAAAGATATTTCATGAAGTTATACTTCTTTTTATTTCTTAGTTTCCTTAATATTTCATGAAAATTGTGCTGTCGTGACTGAAGTCGGAGCATTATTTTGTCTTCTGTTATTTGATGAAGTATCGAGAATGGATATGTGGTGAGCTATAAGAATTTTAAAACTTTTTTACTTTTAATTAAGGTTTCTGATGCAATCTTAGAGCAATGCATGGAAATTTCTGAATTATGAAGCCTATGTTTTCCATTTTGATTTAAGTCAAAAAGCCTATTGGCTCAAAAAGTCCCCTGAACTTTTAATTTGAACATTACTAAGCATAAAATTAAAAAGTTATTGCAGCAGTTTTTGTCATTAATACTCTTTTTTAGTATATATTCTCAATATCATGTTTTTTTTTTCTTTAATAGTTTATTAGAAAATTTGGGGAAGTTGTTTAGGTTGGTAATATGTGATTAGCACTCCACTTGAGCAGGATCGAGTGGGAGGAGGACAGATTCACCTGCCAGTACAGTGCCCACATTCTATGAATCATTATTATATGAATTTCCTAAGCGCTAATTTACTCTTTAGAAGTAAATCTAGGTGGTAGGAAACATGTTGTAACTATACAAATGATAGAGCCAATTGCAACTCTTGTTTGGAGATTCAGTCAAGGAGCAAATTGTATTTGTTAGATAAAACCATGATTTATTCATTTTTTTTCTTTCCTTTTGTGTGTGTATGTGTGTGTTTTTTTTTTTAATGAAATAGGTCTGTTAATCCTTCCAATAAACCTTCTTCACCATCAGTCTTCAGTTTGCCTGTTTCAGTTTTTAGAAGGTAAATGATTTATTGTTTTGATTTTTTTTTTTGAAGGGAAAATGTTACAGGAAGAGAAATCAAAATCTATAAGTTTCACAATTTTTATCTGGCATTTAAATCACATGACATGTAGTGCTTCAGTGTTTCCTCACGGTGGTGAGCTCAGTAAGCGCATGTCCCCATTACTAACTTTCCATCTGAATGTGGTTCAGATGTACAGAAACTCTCCAGCCTAGATTCAGCAGTTGTTAACACGTGGGCTTAATTGCTTTTTCTCTCTTTCTCTCAGTATATTTATTTATCTGTATGTAATTTTTCTCTGATGCGTTTGAAAATAAGTTTCAGACATAATTTTACTTACCTCCTAATTATTGTAGCATGTACCTCCTTAAACTAAGGACATTTTTCTGTATACCACTGTACCATGCATGATCACATCTAAGAAAATTAAAAATAATTCTGTAACATGATCTAATTTCTTCAATTATATCCAAAATAGTAATTACTTCTAGGAGAATCGCTTCTTGGCCTTTTGGCTAAGATCAAGTGTACCTCTAGGAGGAGAGCAAAAAAAAGTAATAGACAAGAAAAGGGAACAAAGAAATTTTCTGAAGGGATGGAAATGTTCTGTATTTTATTCTGAGTGATGGTCATACAAATGAATCCAAATGGAAAAATTCATCAGGCTGTATATGTAAACTAAAAATCTTTGTATTCTAAAGATAAGTAAATTATGTCTTAATAAAACTATGATTAATTTAAAAATAACATTTCATAATTTGGTAAATCTTATTACATGTACTGTAATCATTTTCCTGGCTATATAATATTCTGTTGTTGAATTTATTTACCACAATTTATTTGTTCTCCAGTCAAAAGGTATTGGTTTGATTCTGGGTTTTTGTTCCTGTATCCACCCCTGTAAACAAGCATATGCATGTTTCCTGGTATAGTGTGTAAGAGTTCCTTTTAAATATATTGTTCAGAGTGAACTTCCTTGTTTGTAGATATCACCTACTCTTCATAGTCTCTAGATTTGGGTAAGTAATCAAAGTCGCGCTTGCAGTAGGCCTTGCTTGGAATGAGATTGCACGTGAGGTTGCTGGGAGCTGTCTTGGCTTAGAAGACTCACGTGCTGATAGGAAATATCTTCTTTACTATGCCATAGGCATAGTTTCCAGGACCCCACAAGACACGG